GCGGCGGTCCGGCGGCAGGCATCCCAAGTGCGAGTTACACACAAGTCGGTGCTTAACCGCAAAACATAAAATATTGCACTAGTACAGTAGTTGCTCACCAACTTCCATAATCGTACAGTAACAGTGACTGTAAGGGTGGTCTCAGATTCGAATCGTATATAGATATACTCCACCTCGCGAGGGCTTTGCGGACCGTATGTTAAGATGTAATCACTGCAAACGGCTAGATTCCCTTCGAATTTGAGACCACCCTCCGTGGCTTAAGTCACTGCGAAGGCACTCGCACCAAATACCATGGAACTCTTTATCAATAGCTTCTTGGGGCACAAGCACCTACTCTAAATACGCCGTACGATTCGTTACGTATTGAGAAATACAATGCGCTGCCGTGAGGATCCATCGCGGAGCTATCTAAAATACAATTCCACGTTTATTAATAGAGTAATATTTTAAAATATTTATTTATTTTTCTTTATGAGGGTTAACCAAAGAAGTTTTACGCTAATATTATTTTTTTCCCTACTGCCAAGCAAGAAAAGTGTTTTTTTGACCAACAGCAAATCTGCACAACGATTCGAACTTTTTGCTACAGCATTTCATGGTAGACACTTGCGGGAACTGTGATTACATAGAGAAAAAAGACCTAAAGGAAGAGCTTCGCGGATGGATGCTGTGAGCGCAGGTTAGCACAGCAGAAGCATCACGAACGCAGTTGGCACATCTGAACAAAAAACCGGAGTCGACGGTCGATCGTAATTCTACTATCTTTCACCAAAATGTGACCAAATGCCACTCATACGTTTCGATCGAAGCAAAGGCTTACGGAATAGTTCTACTTCTACAACGTTTCGCCTCTGAAATGCCAGCAAGCCTACCAATATGGAGCAAGAACTTGACAAAATCCTCTTTATCTTAAGCATTCTCGGTCTTAATGCCACTACTTACCACGGTTCCCCCGCAAGCTGAATACTGACTGTCAACCTGCACCTGCCATGGCCAGCTACTAGGCTGGACCTATCCAAAATTATAGTTTTGTGTCAATAGCCAAACAGGTGCTAAGATATGTAATTGCAGTGGTCGTAAATCCGTTACCGGTGTACCACCATAGATGCGCAGGTTCTCGTTGCTATCAATAATCCCACTATGATGGCCGCAGTCCATACTGCAGATCTCGTCTTCGCCCTCCGGACATTGTGCCACACCTAATATTAAATAAATAAAGGTCACAGCCTCAGAATTAAACAGTGCAATTACGTACACTTCAGCGTTTCTTTGGCTAGCAGTTGAGATTTGTGAATAAGGGTAAGTACAGTTCTCATTTTCCTCAGTCTCCGGGTATAAAACATCAGGGGCCTACGCCATACCCATATGTACCGTATGTATGTTGAAATATTCTTCTATCTAACGGTTATTTTCATTTTAACAACGCATGACCGATTGCAAGAACTAAAATGGCAAGAAAAGGTAATGAAAGAGACACGACCATGCAGGCACGTACCTGCATGGTCGTGTCTTCAGGGCCATGTTTAACAATTGTAAAGTAAAACGGTTCAGCTATGAAACCTAGCTTCAGAACATCTTTTAATAATGCGTTCTACGTATCAGCTGGCTGATCACGTTCCCGGCTGCTGCTATTCAACAGCAAAATGCTCGGTACCAAATGTATGCGCTTTCTTCGAAACAGCGTTTTGTTCAGTCATCAACACATATTCAGAGGTACCAATTACCAACGTCGCACGATAGTGCGACGCATCTCGGCTGACTTACCGTCACAAAAGTGCTCCTTTGCAATGCACGAATGGTTGCTCTTATCAGAAGGACACTGAAATGGTGTTGCCCGACCACAAGGTACACCTACGACATTTCCGTTGGCCTTGCCGATGCATCATCTGCATATCCAGAGTTGCAGATAAACTGGCTGCGCACTTACGGGTCAGCTCTAACTGGAATTTGCTTTCGGCCCCTATATGACGGTCCGGGCACCGCCTCAATAAACTGTAAGTAGCATGTCGACGACACTTTTAACAGTCAACATTCTAAGTTACAGACTGTAGATTTAAATCGTTATGAACGAGAGAAGCATTTATAAAGTTGACTTCTAAAATACCGGAAATCTTGATGCGATATTGCATGTGACAGTTTTTATTTGAAGCGTTTCTGCGCCCTTTCTTCGGGCAAATAGACGGCAGCCGGCGGTCAACCGCGCAGTTGTGCGTTTGTTAAATAGAAAGATGCTGACGAAGGCAGGGCAGAAAGTGTATGCATTGCAGCAGAAGAGGAATATGCTCGTCCAGTTTTCTGCAGAGCGAGCACACTGAAACCCACGTAACGGAGTTTTCGGCCACAGGGAAAGCCATCTGTTTTGGGACTTATTAGCTGTTCTAAATACCTGGCAAAGCTGTTTCCTTGTTTCCGATTTTCCATTATTCGTTAATCAGCGAAATGTGGTGGAAAGACAACAATATTTGTTTATTTACTTAGTCTCAGCAGACGTTGCTTAACATTAACAAAAGTTTTAGAACGAAGAACTAACTAGCTCACATGTCAAGTACAAACCTGATACCGGGAAAATTTTAAAGTTTGAAAGTGCTTGCTGACTTTGCTTACCACTGCGTCGCTGTACGATAGAATATCCACTCGTCCTCCACCACAAGCATAAGCAACAGGAGATGCTGGAACTGCAAGCAGGTACAGTATACCGTAAATTTCGATATTAACGCCCTGGGCCTTAATTTTTCAAGAGCTTCGAGGGGGCGCGTAAAACCGCAAGGCATTAATTTCGGTGGAGCGTTAATCTCGGATTTTACGGTAAGCCTTTCAAAATAACTAGTTACTCTAGCGGGCACTCTAGCAGTATGAACTATGAAGTCTTAATAAGCGTACACACCCTTGGCATCCCAAACATTAAGTCGCTCGCCTAAGCATCCATCTAGTACGGTTCTGTTGGGCCAACGTATTCCGAACACAAATTCCTTTGACTGAATCTAGATAGAAAAATAAACTGGTGAAGTTTTTGTACGTGCTAGTTAATGCAAAACCACTTCGGGTAACCCATTTATCCGATAATTTTAAAGAAAAATAATTAGGAAGATGCATTCGCTGTTGCGGGTTCTGGATGACTGCAGCGACAGTACAGTAAACGCATGCAGAAAACAACGCCGCGCCTGCCTATACAGATGAACCGGCGGCTGACTTTAAAAAACAAAACCGACTGCAGTATTTTGGGTAGGCCAAATATTTTTAACTTTTCGTATCTCTCAGAAAATAGGCTTTAAAAAAAAGCATTCCATCTGCTCTAATCTACTCACTGGATACCGAATCAATGGTTCAAAATCAAACGAAAAATTGGCAGTCGTGATTTCTACAAAGCTGCAATTATACAATTTTGCTTGCGCACTTATAAATTTAGCTAACTTTGACCATTGGGCCATTTTTCAAAAGAAGTTGTGGAGATATCTGGTTGGGATTATATAATTTTGCTGCGCAATCTTGTAAATTTAGCCATTGGGCCGCTTTTCAAAAGAAGTTGTGGAGATATCGTTCACCAGATGAAGTTGTTTTGCAAAATTTATTTCTAAATGTTGCTGAATCAAAACGACGCCAATCGAAGAATATTGTAAAGATTTTGTGCAGTAATAAGCATAGTTGCAGTGCAGGACTGTTAAACTACGGAACGTTTTCCGAACCGTAAGTTTTCCCCAACCAGATACGTGCTGTTTTAGGAATAGGCAACGTCAATCGAACATGGAGTAGTGCGAGTGTTAAGGAAAATCAGCTGTCCGTACATCGGTCACTGGCCCCAAATGCACTTCTGCAGAATAGCCATTGTTGGAATAGCCACGCAGAATAGCCACGGCATACGGTGACCGTTTATACCGCATTCGCCCGATGAAGTTGCACCGCTGTCAAATCTGACTGTTAATTTACTGTACCCTACAAAAAATCGTGTACGTTACATCGAAACGATGCTACCGGCACTTTGCTCAATGTGCGGTTCTGGCTTTCCAAATGTCTTGGAATTGGTTTCGGCTGGCGCGCTAGTCGCGCAGATGTGATTGTGTTTGTGTGTCACTAAGGCTTACATACTGTATATGGACGCTTCCGAGTTTTATCGCAAGGATACCTATACTTCACGGGTCGCTGTGTGTACGCCGAGGAATCGTTCTACTGGGAGAAAATGGAAAGGCTGAGACAGCCTGCTACCGTGTCTCCCTAAGCCACGCCCAACCCGAACCGGAGCGCATCGCGGACCTGAACGTGGCGTGTTACCAACGTTTGGTCGGCATTGTAGCGGCCATAAAAGTGTCCCACCTGACAAAATTAAAGTCGAATGCGGAAATGCTAATTTTGAAGTTATTCAAAACTTTGTAGAATCAATACTGCCACTATCGGTAACATACGCCACCCGTTTACTGCCCAGTGCCCTAAAAGCAGATCGGCTGATTTTGCGCCATTCGAGTTCCAGTCGGCAATTTTCAAGTTAAAATGATTCCTCAATACTTATTCTTCCTTCTTTAGCAGACGGAAGACAGGAAAACACTTTTTTGCGAGAAAAATCAAAAAGGAAAGAAACGGGAATTTTCAAAAATTTGCAAGATGAAAACTGCACTGCGCTGCCACACCGGGCGGTTGTGATTGCTTCAAGCGCCGGAAGTCTTTGAATTTTCGTCGTTTATAATGTTCAGCTTGGAAATTTTGAAACATAAATGACACTAGACAGAAAATTTATTTTAATAGGAATACAGGCCAAACTTGACGTGAAAGCTCACGAGCGTTACGTGTTACATTCGTTAAATGGCTTTTACTTGCCGAATCGGCAGTCAAAGTAGTTGCTCAAAATACGTCACCTTCGCTAAGCTCCAGTCGATAAAATAAACATTCTAAAGAAATATTCATGCCGTAATTCTGTTCTCACACATCTCGTTAGCTACAAATGCAGCCTTATACAGAGTAGGAGAACGTCTTCAACCACTTGCTCATCCCACGTGCCTAGTGTACAGAGATACCTTGATTGGTTGGCCAGAGGAATCAATCGAATAGATATACTTCGTGCCAATAGGAAACCGTGCTGGATAGTGTAGTGATCTGAGAATATTGATCATCTTTCAGTTGAATACGTTCGGAAATCCTGTCTGGAATAGTATGACTTATAACAAGATACGGTGACACGGTAACGACATTGAATATCACTGTGTGCGTGAGTAATAAGACCACAAAACGCTGTGGCATTGCCGCACCCAGGGTTAGAGACAAGCAGAATTGTGCGGAGTGTTACGAGTCAAAGGTACTGTACTTACCGTTTCATTTGCACTCTTCCATAAAAAAAGCATGGTTGCTATGAGAAGAGACCTCGCGAAGTACATATTATGCTTGATGGTTTCACAGTTCTACACGCGTGACTTCCGTATTGGCTGCAGGTAAATGTGGTGTCCATTCCATATACACCTCGTTCGCGCCAAGTTGGCGGTGTCTATTTAAAAATTCCCACGAACCACTAGTCTATAAATTTACTTTTATGTTTTCAATGAATCTATCCAACACCATTTGCAACTGAGGTTCCAAGGATTTGTGCTTGTTTAGAATTACAGGAATTTTACCACTAGAGGAGACCTAATTTCAAAATGCGCTGCAGTCCAGCTATTCCGGTTTCCTCCTCCGACATAAAATTCGTTTTAATTTTCCGTTTATGACGCAGCCCACGAACGCTGAGATTATTGACTTGGCCATACAATGGCCCTTTGGGGTGCACCGAACACCATTAACTTGATGTCACTCCTGGGTCAGGCACCGGTACAACGGTGGGCGTGGCCAAACTGTAGGACGACCTCCTTCGCGAGGTCACCATACAGCCGTGGAAGTCCTCCTTGACCTCGCACCACAAAATCAAATTCACAAGGTGTTGGGCGATAATTTTTTCACTACACTCCTCACCATAGGCGCGACCCTCCATTGAAACAGTTCTCAGTTGACACCATCCCTTTTTTCCACTAGCGCTTTGTTTAGGCGAAAACGATTTCGCCCCCTAGGCGTTTTGCAGGTCTGGTCTAGCCGTTGACTTTAGTTCTTATTTACGAAGCACTTTCGTGGGGTCCCCAAACTGACCTTAATTTCAAGCGCCTAAAGTCTTTCCTGAATTTCTGGCTGAATTAAATTGTGTTTCAGCACTGCCATGACTTGTTCCATCGGTGCCTTCGCGTAGGAAGGTGTTTCTCGCGACACTGCTACCGAAAATCGATAACGTTTTTTGTTCAACAAATGCGCAGAAGAAAACTGCACTAAAAATTTTAAGAAGATAAGAAAGCATGCGCCTCACGATTCGGCAGAAAATTAAAATGACGCACCGCCAACTTGGCGTGAACGAGGTGTTACTCAGGTGTATATATCTTCCAATATTTAAAAAAAAATGATAATCACCATTACTTGATGAAAGATCAAATGTACCTCAGTTCGGTATACTTGGATAGTAAATGTTGAGGTAAGAAAAGCCATACTTTACTCCTAAATTTAAGAAAGAGGGAGAATGTCGCCGTTAAGCTTTATTAAGAAAAAGATCGATACTACGCGGCCTCCCACAGTCTGAGATCTCTATTGCCAAAATCAAGACTTTTGTTTTTGGATACGTCCGATCAGAATCGTGCGGGCACGATGCCGGAACGATCCAACCAAGTTTCAAGGTTACCTTCAAATTACATCTGTCTGGAATACATACTGTAGCGTGCATCATTAAATACGCAAATTAAACGGAATAAATTGAACTTACTTTTGTACAACCCCAACCACAGAATTAAGCAATTACAAGTTAATCTATCGATTTTCGGAAACAGTAATCACCTTTCTGAAACAGTGAACAACTTTCTTCCGAAACAGTAACAACCTATCAACTTTCTGAAACAGTGAACGTTAGGTCACTGTTTCAGATTTGTTAAAGCTATGAATTGTCATTCTCTGTAATAAACCTAAGCAATTACACAGCATGACAAGTGAATCAACCGCACTTACATTCCCACGTGCGCACGAGTGGTCACGCTATCACTCTTATCTTATGAACCAGGTAACCCACGCATAACCACCACAGAACCAGAAACGTACCAAATGCGCTTTCACTTGTTTTCATTGATACCAAGACATTACCACTTTACCCCATGAAGCGGGTGAACCTACTATAGAGAATTACGTAGAACAAACATTGCATCAAAACCAAGTACGGTACATATGTATTCAGCCGTAGCGGCAGCTTCCACGCTTTACTTTTGTCTCATGAGAGGTGCCAGATCGGATTTGCTGAAGTAGCACAACGCTGGACGTGCATTTGAGAAAAGTAAAAACACTTTCTCTCAAGAAGAAACTTGTTTCTAGAGATTGCTGCGCTGCATGGAAGTGTTTTACTGCATTCTTGACAGTTCGATCCCATACCCTTTCATTGCGGCTCTTTCTCTGAATTTTGTACTTATTTTTAGAAATCTAAAAAACTGGTTTTTTTGTCTTGGCTGTTTCTGATATTACTGAACGAAGATTATTGGTACTGTGGTGCCAAATGGCAATGCACACGAACGATCGAGTTAACTGACAATTATTGTAATGTTCGGGCATCAACCGAATCACGGAATTTAATATATTTTAGGGTGGACTCGCAGCATTTTTGGCTATTCTAACAACCTCTCGCCATCTTTTCGCTATTCCCACTGCCTTTTGGAACTAGGCTTTAGTTAAATTTTCTGTTTGCGCTCCACAAGTCCCGAAGCCATGCCACCAGAGCAGTGACCACATTTCTCCATATCTGTACCATTTATTATTCATACACTGTAGGTCATCGTTTTTTCAGCAGACATATACAGATAGTGTAATACCGTACATAGTGCCAGTTTTGTTTCGAAAGTTTTGTGCTTGCCACTTGATATACAGTGCATAATACTGGCTGCAGCAATACCGGCATCTGAAGGTGATCAACTCTTGCATCATATCACTTTTATTTTGTTTCCGGAGTCCCTGAAAAATTTCCGTGCACTCAAAGTGTACGCAAGAAATTGAGAACAGCCAAAACAGAGTGCCGTAGGGCAGGGTCACGATAGTACATATTTTATAGCAACTAAATTCCGCCCGCTTAGACTGAGAAAGCCTATCCGACAAAATTTCCGACTTCCAGCCGCACTCGAAAAACGCCCGACTAAAGGCTCCATCTGGCACGAGCGCCAAGGCACTAATCTGGCACGAATCTGGCTTCATGAACATATCGGCATAACTGCGCTGCAAACCACGTTCAGTATCATGCTTCTACAAAAAGGGCTTGCTTCCACCAAAAGCAGTAACCTAACAGGAACGTTTCGGGAAAACATCCGGCTGAGAAGCATTCGACAAAGGCCCGAAAACACATGGCAGCGAAAAACTTCTGCCCTCGGAAAACATACCCGAATGGAAATCCTGTAGCTAAAAAAGTGCCAGTAAAAGCGGACCGAGCCGAAACTATCTGACTGGAACTTCGAATGCACACCCGCTTAGCTCAGAGCACTTTAGCGCCTACACTGAAAACTGGCTGGCTTAAAAGGCCCTGTCCGACAAAGTGTTGCACTCATGAGGGTCAAACGACACAAATTCCTGTAAGTAAAGGCCCGTGATAGCTTGATGCACCGGTTGAGCAGCTTCCGTATGCTTATCGGAACACAAGCGGACACCCTTGGCGCTTGCGGAATAACCCGTCGCGTTATACTTTCTAGCCACCATGACACGTAGTGCCGAGCCACTTGTACGGTTCGCACCTCCAGTGTAGGGGCGGTTTGATTCTAGCCGGCATTTCAGGAGAGACAGTCGGTGCTGTTCGAGTACGTGGTATGTTGATGGGCTGCTTCAGACAGGAAGACAAATTGGTAGTTGGTTTAGCGCGTCACGGTGTCTACCGGCAATCAGGAGGTCATTGACGGGTAGGTCCGCTCGGACTTTTCCTTCTGGCCCTCTATTATACAATCTGGTCGCATAAGTTACTTTACAATGTTAGCCGGTGCAGGAAAGTGGCATCGCCGGGCTTACCTTTCTCCGATGGAAACCGTCAAACTCGGTGACGCTAATATTCACGCCGACATGGTTCCCATGGGGTCCTATCCATTGATTGTTTGGACGGGTGCCGGAAGGCGGGTTGCAGTAACCTATGCAGCTAGACTTGGGTTGTGTGACGGGTCCAGCAACTTACCAACGTGGGGTGAAATGGCAAAAGAGGACCAAGGACATTATCACAATACGACTAGGTAGGGTATTCGGACATGTTCGGCGGAGGAACATGTCCGATTAGAGGCGACAGAGGCAAACTCTGCGAAGCAAATTTTATTACCAGTATTTGTACACACTTTAACTTCGAATTTCGACCGCTAGTGTTCGACCAGACACAGCGCGACCTACCCTGTTCACCACGCCAACCATATGCACGGTTTCTCTTGAATACTCGTGGCGTTGCCATCGGTCACCGTTGGTATCCGGCGGAGGGTGGGTGTAGATAACATCTTCGATAATTGCTCCGTAATTTGCTTTATTATTTGCAAACCACGAAAAGCAATTATTTAAATTTTCATATACCAGACACGATTTACGCAAACGCACTTTACAAAGAGCGAACTTAATTGTTGACTTCAATACGAGCTTACCGTAGCATGCCGAATCGACTTGTACAGATAGACCAGCTAAACGCGCTGCAGGCGTGGCGTTATCCCGGCACGTTCTGCAGTGCAACAGCTTAATTGAGGTTGTCGTAATGCAAGATTTACTTAATGCATCTGCAATCATTTGTGTAATAAGCCCTGTAAAACATTCTGTTTACAGGTTTCTCTGTTAAAATTTTGATAACGTAGCGACATGCCATCTCTATCCAGTTTGCAAGCAAGCTGTTCTCTTACCTTCTTTAATATTTTTTTGTTGTTTTTATAAATTTGTTTAGACTATTTCGAATTTCTTTCGGTTTTTATATGTCGTAAAGTGAGTTGCTATAATTCTTACTTACAAATAAGTTACAATGGTGCTCCCGTGTCCGCCTAGAAATACAAAAGTCTATCAGTACAAAAACACACACCAGGAAGCCATACATGTTGTACTTTACAAGACAAAACGGCGCTTGTAAAGGCCCACCAGCACAGAAACCCGTCAGTGACGGTCCACGCAGATAGCGCGGGTGATCTTTTTGAGCAATATCCGTATGTGTGTCGGTGCAGGTCCGAATATCCCAAGGGGCCGCCGGTACACCCACAGGCCGCAACTGTAGGCCCTCCCCTGTTAACAGCCAGCTCCAAGGCACCTTGTAGCGTCCGTACATCGTACACTCTCCAAGATAGGCGCGGTTATCGTAGGAATTGCTGTCCGAGAGCGGCTTATCCTGACGCCGATCGGAGAAACACACTGGACAGGCGCGCTCCATGTTGATAGGTTGCTCCAGTTCCAGGAGGACGAAAAGACGGTTCGGGTAGCGGTTGGTGGCGCGGAGGTGATCGTCCTGGAAGAACATCCGCTTGGCCAGAATATACTGGGCCTCTATTTCTGCTGAGCCGGAGGTGGCGCGAACCGCGATGTTGGCCATAGCTTTGCGGGTTTTGGGATCGCGTCTGTATGAAATAATCAGTTCAACTACATAAGTAGTGGTTTTCTTAGGTCTTTCCTTCCTTAATTTGCCTAGGGTTTCTTAGATTCTTAGGGTTTTAAGAGAATCTTAGATTTTCTCAGGTCTTCTTATACTTCTTAGGTTTTATAGCCCTCGTCGACGCCGAGCTGCCGACGTCGAATTTTAATCAACATAGTGCCGATAAGCTCAACCACAAGATGCCTAAAATTGTAGCCGAAAGGTCGCGGCAAAATATAACTTTAGATCAGAACTAGTCATCGGTTAAAAGTTTTAACTGCAGCCACTGACAATCGTCAAGACAGCGGTGTCGTTGATAATCACGCATCGGTTATTTATTTTCTGAACCCTATCGTAATTAGGAATGATCTGGCCGAATCATTGCTATTACGATAGGGTCTAAAAAGTCCGGTTTACCCAAAGTATATCGATAAAATCATACCGCTCCTGCACAAACGGTATGACGAGACTGGAGCTCAGCAGTGTTAATCCGCCTCGTGCTGTATTCGCTTCAAACAAAATTACAAAAGTGGGACTTACAGACCACTGGCGACCGTTAATACAGCGGTGTCGTTGATTATTACGCCGACATGGCTGTTTCCGTTCCTCTTCCAGCGCTGGGCTTCGAAGGATTACAGGAAGGTGTCACATAGAAGCCGATGTCAACAAGAAAGCAGTCGGGGTGGCGTATGTCGGGTCCAGTACGACACCGCATCTCGGATACAGCGGCAAGGGTGGATTAGGAACACTGTCGTCACAGGGCGGGCGGTGGTGTTCGGTGTAGTGGCTGGCGGAGGAACATTGGTGGAGGTGGTAATACGTGTGGTCGTGGCTGGGGTTATGGTTACTGCTGGTGGCGGATTGACGGCGTTGACGACGGGGATGGTACCGTCTCGGTGGTGGTGACGGGGGGGCGTTATGGTCTTAGGTATGTTCCAGTGGTAGATGTAGTCGACTGTGTGGTGGTATTGTTAGGTGGCGGGTATGTCCCGTCCCGGTGGTAGAGGGAACCGGTGGTGTCGGGGTGTAAATGGGTGGCGGATACGTTCCCGTTCCGGTGGTACTTGGAGTTGGCGGTGTCATGGTGTTGTTAGTGGATATGTCCCGTTCCGGTGGTAGAGGGAACCGGTGGTGTCGTGGTGTAGATGGGTGGCGGATAGGTTCCCGTCCCGGTGGTACTTGGAGTTGGCGGTGTCATGGTGTTGTTAGGGGGTGGATATGTACCCGTTCCGGTGGTAGAGGGAACCGGTGGTGTCGTGCTGTAGATGGGTGGCGGATAGGTTCCCGTTCCAGTGGTACTTGGAGGCGGCGGTGTCGTGGTTTTGCCAGGTGGAGGATATGTCCCCGTTCCGGTGGGGGGTGGCAACGACGGTGTGGTCGTGTTGCGGGGTGGGGGATAAGTCCCGCGTTTCAGTAGTGCTTGGAATCGACGGTGTCGAAGAGCGGCTAGGTGGTGGGTATGTACCCGTCCCGGTGGTGGGTGGCAACGACGGTGTGGTGAGCCTGCAGGTACGGTACGGTGGTGGAGTGGCTGTTGTGGTAATGTTGGGCGGAGGCCAAGTGGTGGTAGAGGCTGTATTACACGGTGGTGGCGGTGGTGATGGTAGCCTGTAGTCGTGTTGGTTGATGGTATATGCTTGTCAGGTCGTGTTTGGCGTGGATGAGGAGTGCACCACCAAGATGTCGTCGACGACCATATTGGTGGAGTGGAATGTCCCAGTGGTCGCTGTTGGATTCTGTGGTGGTCGATTTACTCGGTGGCGCCGTAGTTGATGGCGTTGGTGTTGTGGAAACAGTGGGCGTTGTGAGCGTGCCTGAGGGGTGTTATTGTGACGGTTGTCCAGTTGTGTCTGTCACCGTGTAAGGCGTTTCGTGTAGTTGTTATTTTGGTGGCGAAGTCGTCGGTGGAGGGGTTAAGAAACGCAAACAACTCTGGCGGCTCTGAATACAAACCATTAGCATAAATTATCTGTAATTAGTACTTAGGAGGCCATACTAACCGACTATTTTAGGTAGTTTTGACGTTTAACTTCTACTTCGTGTAATTTTGTGCTAAAGCAAACACTTTACGCGATGCTTAACTTTTTCGAAATTCTGTGGTTTCCACAGTGTACACTGTAAACACACATTAGCGTACCTTCAACAGCATTGAACAAGAAACTGCCGCGGGAAATATGCTGTCTTTGATAGTCCCTTGCCAAGATAGCACGATTCCCAGCGAACATCACAGATTTCACATTTTATATGTTCCTTGGTATGGCTCAGTCCAGACCTGACACAATCAGCCAGTTGGGTGTCGTTAACACATGTTCCTTGGCCTCCATCTGTGTATAAAACACAATAGCTTTCATATAACCAAAGGTCATCACATGAACTTTGCTCGATCCGCTGTTTTGCGGAGAGGGTATAATGACGTACCTATAATGATTCTTTCACTAAAGATTCCATTAAAGTACTCATCATGATACACCCAGCAGTATTTAGGCTCATAAACATCCATAACATTGGAAAAGTCGCTCTCCCGAAATGCATTCCTGGTAGGTTGAGAGCATGGGCGGAGTGAGAAATCCGATCAGTACAGAGTGCAACCAATGACAGAATCAGTACAGCCGTATTTCGTTGCATAATACAATTTATAACCAAGTACTGTATTTATCCGCAGCAGTAGAAAAATATTGTTATCAAGGTTAGTGTTTCTTGTACAGGAAGGAAGAAAACTGCTTAAAGATGGATGCCAAAGCTTCCTTTACGAATCATTTTTTAGTGCAGTTAGACGAATAAGAAGAGTCGGTAGTATGATGTCACGAGATTCCGAAAATCGCACATTTGGAGATATTTCAAGTTGATCCTCTTCACGTCTGAAAACTAAAAGCTATAGTTGCAGAATTACAAAAATTTGCTTTGTACGTTCACGCGCATTGCTGTTGCATAGCATCAAAGGTTATAATATAATACCGAGTATTTCAGGCCAAAATGCGTTTTTAATTTTTGGCTTTTAATAACACGTCTTACTTTTAATAAGCATCACATACAAGTACATACGGGGTACTAAAACAAAATTCATAACAAATTTCATTGACAAAATTTATTTTTGTCTTTCTTGTTCATTTGTACGAGATGCATAAGCGTTGAGCACTTGGTTTATAGTGAACAATATTCAATTTTGTACATGTACATACGAGCACAGGGTACATGTACTGTATTGTACAAAATTCTGTAGTATACACTCATCGTAATTATAAATTATAAAGAATGAAGTCTCGTCTATCAGAATGTGGTACTATCATTTAATTAAAAAGTTTGCTAACGCTAAAAATCATTTTTTGTCATGGGCATCGAGGGGAGAAACGCTGTTCAACAGAGGAAAACGACTACAAAGCACTGTTTTAGGACATTCCGAGTTATATTGTAACAGTAGCCGATCTGGCTGCTGTTCTAGTGGGTTGGCGTGTTGACCGTACCACGATGTTGTGGGCTGTTGGGATGAAAGGTTGGCACGACCGGCAACGGTGTGGTCGGGGACGCTCTTACTGACTTAACGACGTAACAAACGTAACAACGGAAGTTCACGGCATGTTTAATGACAAGAACAGTGCATGACAAGGAGCAAGGTTTAGGCAAGAGTTTAACAAGCGAAGCTGATCAAGCTGATGCAAGCTGTAGCAAGCTAAGGCAAGAATGAATTCTAGAAATTGTGAAGAAGAACAGCTACTAGCCGATAAAAGGATAGAAATTCATAACGCAATGATGAATCATAACTGGGTGGTCTTATGGTTGTACAACTTCTATCGCTACAATATACCCGACTTTCATGGTCAACATCGAAGAAGGTGATTTAGTTTTGATATGAAGGTATTGTGCGAGCAATCAAAGCAGTTTAAGCAATATTACGGTAGTTTATTATCCAGTTCGCAACGCAGTACACAAATATAGACAACAAAACACGTAAGGCTACACCGGAAAACTTTTGCAAGTAAATGTCGTGCAGCCGTCCGGGCGACGCTCAGTTGTGTGAGTAGCCGCGCGGCTCCAGCTTCTCGGTACAGGAGCAGATACCAGACCTATGCAGAAGATGCCGTTTAACCCGCCGTGACGCGGATGCGATTCAAAGCCCTTGATGCCTGTAAGGCTGTAACCATCCACGAGACACTGGACGCAATCGTGGGTTTCACAGATCGCGGCGCCAATGAGACCACTGCTAGTTTTCAGTTCGCCGTCGTCCAATAAGTTGCCGATGTGAGCGAACGGTGGTGTATTCAACCGGATACCGGCTTCTGGCTTATTCAGAGCAAGCAAGCGCGCTGTATTGACCTCGTTTCCTTGAAACAACTCCAGCAGGATAGATTAGCATATAACTCACTGTACGAAAAGTTGCCAAGTTGACTCAACGATGCGATGCAGTTATTCATTTGACCAACTGCTGTTTTCTGTACATGGTACATTCGTCCACCGTTGTTCTTTCATTCGCTTTACTCAGCGTACCAGCTGCCGATACTCTGTACTTATCATAGCGCAACAAAATACGTTAGACTTTTGAACGCGTTTTGTAAGAAATTCAACTATTAACTGAACAACAAATGTACGTATTATCAAAAATTATTTATTGCATCAAACACTTTATACTGAGCTAGTTCCGCAATATCATTTTTCGTTATTACGAAAGCTGCAGGAGTTGCCCACTTGCCCGTGACGCTTCGTTCAAAGTTGCGAGGCAGTGTCGTGCGAACGGATCGTGCCGATGATAAGTACTGTCTCGCTTCACATTCAGCTTGGATCACTTCCGTCAACCAGTGTTTCTCTGCAAAGTACTGGCGAATACGAAGTCAGCGGGAGATATGTACCGTAATCCTGTAAACGACAGCTTCGTAGCAACCATTCATGCAGCTTTGTACTGTACTGAGAACTGCTACAAATAGGATAACGTCTTACCCCGAAAGAGCATATTAATAATTTGTTTGTGCATTATTACTTGAAAGAGAATGTAATAATGCTGAAGTGTTTGTTGATCTTACTAAACACACGGCTGCGGGCAGCGGTACTGATAATCATTACAGTATCTAATTATCTTGTTGTAGGTGATATTTTTCCGGCAAGGACTCAGAGCGGATAACACTGAATGACAATCAGCCTTTTATTCTTAAATCGTTTCAGTACCCAGCAAAGTTCCTGATGACACGAAGTATGTTTATGCTATCGATGCATCCGGTCTGGCCATTAAGGTAAAAAGCAGTTGTAAACTAACACGAGTACATGGCTATTACATGGTACAGCTTAAGAAGATGCAAAGGAAGAAAACAATAAAACACAGGAAAAACATTATAAAAGATAAGAAAACATAAGAAAACAAGAAGACAAGAAACCATAAGAAGGGTGTAAGCGTTGAGATGTCCCAGTGAGAAGCCCAAGTGAGAAGTCCAAGTCCAAGTTGTAGTGGTCCAAGTCCAAATTAAGTGTAGTCCACGTCCAAATTAAGTCCAATCAAGTCCGAGCTTGAGCGCGAACCCCGGTTGACGTCACCGGCCGGCGTATCGGATAACGTCACCGGTCGCTGCCGTAACAGGATATTTATTTTTGCGTTTTGGTGAGTTTAAAGACCTTCGCTTCGCTCCGGTCGATTACAGAGCCACAAGACCTTAGAGCCGAGTTCTAACATCGGATTGCGACGGCTTTTTTCAGTACTAAGGTAAAAAGGAAGGGACTTTGATTCTGTTAATAATTTATAAAAATTAACTGCCAACGGCTAAAAAGTGCCTTCGTAAAATAACTTTAATTAATGTTTTGCGCGGATACGATCTACTGTAGTTTAAGGGTAAAACTTTAGAAATCAAAAAAGCAATAACTGCTAGACAAGTGAAAAATCCTGCGGAACACGTCACACCCACAAGAAATTCTATGCAATACTATTTCTTATCCAGATTCAGTCAAAGGAATTTCTGTTCGGAGTGCGTTGGCCAAATAGAACCGTACTGGATGGATGCTTGGGACAGCGAATTAATGTGTGGGATGCCAAGGGTACGTATGGTCATTGATGCTCTCGTTAGTTTGTCCTGAATAGCCTATTTGCAGTTCCAACATCACCGATTGCGTATGCTTGTGGTGAAGAACGAGTGGATATTCTGTCGTATAGCGATTCTATTGTAAGCACTTTCTGTAAATACGAGTAATTAGCAGTAGGGGGTTACGCACTTTCGTGAATGGATCCATACTTTTGCCATAATCAGGTTTTTTTGCATAAAACATCTTCTTTTAACGATAAGATTGAATACCTACTTCGCTTTTTCCCATATTCCGGTCACTTTGAGTGGGTTTCATTCCGGTCACCAGGTAGTTAAATTCCTGACAACACGAAGTTCACAGAATCATTAATTTTTATTATTTTAATTTTAGAAAACGACTTCTCTCATTAAATTCGAACGTAAACATCAATAAATTTTTATGAGAAACAAAACAATAACAGAAACTCTGAATCGGATGAGGCGCAAAACACTGGGCCTTTCCGTCTATAAACTTCTACTGCAAACGAAATTTAATGGACCCCCTAAAAAGTATGCGGGTGGAGAGGGCTTGCTCAGTGAACTGCACGGGCGGCTAAAGCTAGTGCGATCAACAGATAACACTCACAACAGCTATTCATGGTGCGCCACATGTGCGGTCCGCAGCAGTGACCGGTGACCGGAATATGAAACCATACACTCAAAGTGACCGGAATATGAGAAAAGCAAAGTACTGAAAAAATGCACATCGGTGTGTGCGCAGACCGGAGCGTGTGAATTATTTCACAGACTGAAGTGTGTAAATTATTTTACTTAGGCAAAGAGTACGATTTCTGCGCTTTGGGTTGCAACTGTTTTGGTTTGGGTTCTGCGCTTTGGGATTCAACTCGCAAGCTGTTTTAAAAATAAGAGGAGTTCAAGAAAAGGTTACAGCGTACAACTGTACAAAGTACTCGCAATATGGCCCTAATTAAGTACAAGATCTATACTACGCGCGGCGCCCCATAGTTTTGAGATCTCTATAACCATAAACTTCTGGAAAAACGGACAACGCCATTAGATTCGGGATAGTTCAGAAGTGGCCGGCATGTGTTTTTTTTATGAAAATACCGAGCCGGGATCAAGCCGGCATCAAGACCAGATTGATCCAACCCATCTTAAAGGTCACCTTGAAACTTAGAAATATTTGCCTAGATACAATACAAAATACCAATTGACATAATTATTACACTAATTAAACCGAAAAATAAATAAATTATTGTACTTATTCAAACACTCGCGTTATTCAAACATTGCTGCCGGTGTTGCCGAGTTCGAAACACGTTTAAAATCAACCGACATAAAATGTAAAAATGTCAAATATAAAATCAATACGTAAAATCACTGGTCGAGTGAGTGACCGAAACACCATAACTGCCCACTGAGCGGAATTTCTAGGTGAGTGAGTCATCGAGCGGGCTTTGCTCTTGTTCACCTAACGGGCTCTGTGCACTGGACAGTAGTTGTAGCAGGGTCACTTCCTCACCTAGCGATTTTTCTCCTTACCTAGCGATTTTTCTTACTGGACAGGTGGAGCTCGGTCAGTCACTCACCTAGTGATTGAGTGCGTCAAAAAATCGCTAGGTGAGTAAGTGACCGAGCTACCACCACTGTCCAGTGCACAGAGCCCGTTAGGTGAACGAGTGACCGAGCTACCACTACTGTCCAGTGCACGAACTCCGTTAAGTGATCTAGTGACCGAGCTACCACTGCTGTCTAGTGCACGAACTCCGTTAAGTGATCTAGTGACCGAGCTACCCCTACTGTCTAGTGCACGAACTCCGTTAAGTGATCTAGTGACCGAGCTACCACTGCTGTCTAGTGCATAGATCCCGTTAGGTAGATGGGTGACCGAGCTACCAATGCTATCCGGTCGGTGCACAAACTCCGTTAAGTGATCTAGTGACCGAGATACCACTACTGTCCAGTGCACGAACTCCGTTAAGTGATCTAGTGACCGAGCTACCACTACTGTCTAGTGCATAGATCCCGTTAGGTAGATGGGTGACCGAGCTAACAATGCTATCCAGTGCACAGAGCCCGTTAGGTGAACGTTTGACCAAACTGCAATATTACTGAGCAAAATAAAACAGGGCCCGCTAAGTTCTTAGTGGGTGACCTATCTAGCACCATTGTCCAGTCTTATCGTCCTTTTAGTTTGTAATGTGGTACTCTCGTGGGTGATCAGATTCGGATTGTTTTTTCGCTACGAAAATTTAATTAAAAATGTCACTCAGATTCTCAAATCTCATACCCTTTGATCATAATGTAAAGTCAAAGTAATTGCGTTCGACTGCGCGAAACCAAAACATCCATTTTTTTATAAAATTTTTGTTATCGGGCTCTTCAGATTTATCCGTTCTAAGTTAACAATCCGTAAACCGGCCTAGGATTTTAGAACCCAAGAAACGCGGAGGCGAAGCCGAGGCTGTTTCTTGTACGTATATAAAGGTGCAACGTAGGACATTATTGACATATGCTATACGGAAGTCGCACTGCGGTACTAGATGACCAACCAAACACAGTCGTTGGAGTGGGAATCTCTATTCTGAACGGTGTTACGGTGATCTTCTCCTACGCTGACAACCAAATACCTGGATGATGTTATTATCCAGATTCTTAGGGTGACTTCCTGTGGGTACACACCAATGCTTTCGCCACAAGAAGGTCACTCAGATTCTCAAATCTCATACCCTTTGATCATAATCTGAAGGCAGCACACATGCAGTACATACAGACTCTCCAGCCAACACTATCAAATCTGCACATACTGCGCATAGATCTGCAAAGATCAAGACTACTGTAAACTCAGACTAATCAACACGAGCAGAATCGATTAAAAGCTTTAGATAAGAACAGGTGAATCGTACGTGAACTATGACGTTCGTACATAGTATAGGCATACCACGCCTACCGTGTCATTATTATGAAATTTAAATTTGTTGGAGACGACGTAATCGTTGTGGTAGTGTGGAATATTATCGGATTAACAAAAAAAATTTTGTGTGTTAATTATTAAAATGGAGAATAAACCGGGCACTATTTCACATATACAGTAGCTGCATTAGAGCAGCCAACATAACCCAAAATAGATGTGACACTTCCCAGAATTTTCCCACTAAATTTTAGTTCACTTTGTTAATATCAATAAAACTGATACTTTCGATGCATCAATAAGACTGATACTTAAATGGACAGACAGTGTGCACAATACCGCATTACTGTAGTTTGATCACTGGATGCCGCCACCGGATCGGCAAAAGGTTGGTTGAGCCCACTGGTGTGTCTACTGCTTTTCGAAGACCACGCAGTCGCACTTATGTTGCTGCTGCGACTTTTCCAACGTTCTCACTACCAAAATTTAGGGGGCCGAATATTACTGATGTGTTTTAATTGCTGCTTGCAGCTTATCGAGGCGGTTCCTGGGCCATCTTACGGAGCTGACAGCAAATTCCAGTTACAGTTGACCCGTAAGTGCGCACATACTTTATCTACAGTACAACCTTGGACATACAGTACAATGAGTACATCTGCCATAAAACTAAAAACTGACATATGGACAGTCACCGGAGATTGCACTCATGGTAGGTGTACCTTGTGGTCGAGCAACGCCATTTCCATGTCCTTCCGATAAGAGCAATCGATCTTGTATTGCAAGGGATCACTTTTGTGACGGTAAGTTAACCCGGGAAGCCGGGATATGTCGCACGTTAGCACAACCGCTTTTACAAAGTACAAGGCATTCCTCGGTCTCGGATTGCCAGTACATACGCACATTTGTAGAAATGAATGCTAATTTCTAAAAGTCGTAAGAAAGCACGACGCTATTTCATTAGTAGTAGTACATAGGTCTGTTAACGGTTGGCGCAAGCCGCCAAGAGAAATGCCTATACTGAATTCCTTGTTATTAGAATTTCCATTAAAATTTTTACATGTAACTATGTAAGTACTTGTGTAAAATGGAAATTGTTTTAAGTATTAAGTATTCTACATGATTCTAGTAGTGTATGGAACTGTTGGACCATTGCGTGACCCCTGTGCAGTTCTCAAAAATATGCCGGTTGCATACGTAATGAAAACTGAAACAACTACTTAATATCAGAACTCACTGACAAAGAGTATGCTTTTGTTGACTTACACTGAAAAATTGAGCAATTTACCGTTATTAGCCTCGATGTTGCTGCAAGTTGTCAGCAGCGGAAAGGTTGAAGCGCAATTCCATTAGTTCTGAATATTAAGTCTGTGGTTTTTCTTTTATTAGGTGTGGAACAATGCCCGCAAGGGGAAGACGAAATCTGCAGTATGAACTGTGGCCAACATACAGGGATTATAGAAAGCAGCGAAAACCTGCGAATCCACGGCGGCACTCCGGTAAAAGTTTTACGATAGATACATGTACTCTGTAGCTACCTCGGGTACCTCCTCCTTATCATCTGCTTGTACATTATCCTTATCATTACATGTACTCTGTAGCTACCTCCTCCTTATCATCTGCTTCTTGGCATTTCTGACGTAAGGCGTCAATTTTATAGGCTCAGCCTAACAGTTGGCCATGGCAGGTCCAGGTCGACAGCCAATACTCAGCATGCGGGGGGACTGTGGTAAGTGGTGGTGGCATTAAGGCTTCGAAAAAGGATACACAGCATATGCTATGATTAGGTAACATTTTGCTCAAGCCATACTGACATACATTGAAATGCTTTTGGGTACGAGTATTTCAGGGGCGAAAGTTGTACAGTTGTAAATTGTGGAACTCTTAATAGGTGAGCGAACGATTGTTTTCACGTGCCTTTCGCTCCAAGTAACACGTGTAAGCGGCATTCAATCGCTTTTCTTAAAATGCATTAGACAAGCACATCCACACGCGTTTTGGTAGACGAGGCGTAAATTATGACCGAAGCCGATACCGGTATTTCGTTCAGCGGCATTCTTTGGCGCTCAACTTACGTTCATCGCAGTATCACTCGCCAGCGTCGATGCACGTCAATGACGTCACCCGCTCAAGTCTTTTGGCGTCATATGGTCTATGACTCTATGCATAGCTCGGCACTTCTCAACAACCGGTCACTCTTAGTAAATTAAATTTTGACCAACCCCCATATGGCGTTTTACATGCTTAACGGCCGATCGCAATTGAAATAATGTGTTTATAGGTATATACAGTTCATACCTCGCCCAACAGTACGAGTGACTGTCTGAACGTAAACATTGCCATTGTTGATTTCAGATAGCCCCACGGTGGATCCTGACGGCAGCACATTGTATATCTGAATACGTAACGAACCGTACGACGTACCTAGAGTAGGTAATCAACAGCGGCAGGCAGATGCAGAATGTCGCAGTACAAGCAGTGCCATAGCGAGGCCCAAGGAACGGGGCGCATAATTTGGCTGCGCTTTATACTGGCCCCGTTTTCGAGTTCACTGCGGCCTTAGATTTCAGAGCGTGCGCCCGCTGCGCCCCCATCCCTCGGACTATGCTACGATCTTGCTCCCCGTTGAACAGCAGGTTAAAATATACTGCGTGACCAAATCTAATCTACTGCGTGACAAATTTCGCGACCAGCGCACTGCTAGAGTAAAGACGTCCTTAAAAAGTCCAAACTACAGAATTTTCGGTTTCCAAAAAATATTTTGAAAATTATAGTCTGTATGTGCAGCCTGAAAAATTACCAAACAGTAACGTGAGTTTCGCATTTACTTTTTGGTCTCAAAATCAATGTAGAAATGTTTCGTGATCTTTGTTAGTCAAATAGCGATTGTGTGTCAGCAGCTCTCGCGCTTTGTTTCGCTACAGGCGCGCTTCTTTTTACGAATACCCGTAAGTGCGTATTACAGACAACATCACGAGGGTGCCTAAAAGGTTCGAACGACTTGCGCACATTTTACGTATTTGCATAAAGTTAGGAGACTCACAATTAGCGCCTCTTTGTTCTCAGAAGTGGGACTCTGCAAAAAATAACGGTGAAATTCATGCCCCACCGCTGCGGATCATCACCGAATGCCACGGTTATTACGGTACAGAAAGTTTTCCTACCACCCCAGTGGGAAACACGCTCGGAACGAAAACTTTACTTTGATGCAGCTCTTTGCTTCTGTTCTCCGTGAGTAGCCAGTTACTACCGTTGCGGTTGAACATAGATAACTAAAAATCTAATACAGCATAACGACTCACGTCAGAATATTCCGGGAGAAATTCTAAAGATTTGACTATATAACAACTGTCTGAACAGCACAAACATAACAGTATTCCCGGAGGAAAATTTAAGATTTACAGATTTAAGGTTAAATACGAGTACGTCTGCAATCGACTGAAACATTTTACACAAACTGATCTTCATTCCTCCATGGTTAAAACTGTTAACTTCGCATCAGTGCGTACTTATGTAAGAACGTTAATAATTTATTTATTTATTTATTTGTAACTCTTTATCAATTTTGTCGGTAAAGTATACCGAATTAGTAAGAACTGTTGCTCTAGCCAAAAGCTTCGATTACTACAAAGTGTACTTGTATTAATTTTTGTAGTCGAGATTTTAACTTATGGCATTTAATATTCATCGCTGATTTATTCCGTGTCCGCGCAGTTTGCGCGGGGTCTACTAGTAATAATGTAAAGTGAGCGTATTAAGCGCTACTAAGTACAGCAATATCTATTCTGCAGGACATTGAATTGTTGACAGTTCAACCAATCTGTCTGCCACGTTCCGATATGGTTTTGCGAACTGGAGACGTCTGTTACGCAGCTGGTTGCGGTTTAGTCGAAACCAAAAGCGTGCCGTCCGAGCTGATGCAGGTGGCCTTGACCATCGTTGGTTTTGGGTGTGACTCTGCAGTCTGTCCTGATAGGCTGTATACAGGGCACAATGTTGGTGGCGCTGGAACGACCACGTATGGCATACTGAAGTCAAAAAAAGTTAGCGAGTTATGCTGGTGAAAGCCATATTGTGTGGTTGCAGGTGTTCCGGAGACAGCGGAGGACCTTTAGCATGCCGGAAAGACAGCAAATTTGGTAAGACCAGTGTTTGCCAACTGTGGTTGGCAATTTTCAACTTCCCCGTAATAAAGCTAACCACTGAAGTTAGCTTATTTGCCCCAGTGTCGAATGCCGACCCAGCTTTATTTTTCAGGAAACGGACAATGGACCTTATTTGGAGTCACTTCATTCGGAACAGGGTAGGAAGGCCGACAGTTGTGTGATTTATATTATATCAATTCGGAGATGAAACTGGAAATATGTTTTATTAGAGAATGCGGCAACTCGCTTTCCGGTTTCCAAGCTGCAGAAATGCTCTTGCCGTTCATTATGAACACACTGTATTCGCAAGGCTTCTACGGTTGGCTAAGAAATCGTACCGTGCCAAGGAGAGCGCAGGTCAGCCAGGAGGTGGACCCAGGAATGGTAATGGCAGACAAAGAAGAGATTACGGTACCATTACGCACGCAGTTTTCCGCGCAGTCGGCGGCTTCTAGAAAATATTTGGGATTGATATTTTTTGACATAATACAAGCTTGGCTATCGCTATGCTTTTCGAAGCTGGCAACCACATCCTGGTGAAATTTTCTTGATGATTGTCGTTTGTCATTCGACCACAATATACAGTGTATGGAACATGAGACCTAGCCAGCTGCCACCCTATTTGCCGTTAGCATTATTTTCGTATTGAATTTCATATCAATGGAAAACTGAAAGCTCTAATCTGTTGGTTTTCGTCCTGCTGCCAGCATTCAGCTACTGCAGAATGATGCACGTACTTGGTCCGAGTTGGTCGGCTGTGCAGTTGTCTTTGATCACCATGACGTGCCACAAACGGATAATGGGCTAAAGGATGTTTGTGTGTTGTTTGTTCTTTCATGAAGAACTCAATTACTCTTCTCCGAACTTGGGAACCATGCCAGTCAAACTTCATTTACCTCGAACTTAATTATAAAAAATCAAGTCGGTTATGCCTAAAACCAAGGAAGTAAAAAGATCGTTTGCGCGAGCTTTTATAATCAACTGCGTGCTGGTTTGTGCAACGACAAACAGCTTTACAACTGATTTCTGCAAGAAAAGTCTTAGAAAATGGCATAAAGTAGAACAGACGTCATAAGGAAAAAGCGCTTTATAGTCCGCAAAGTGCTTTGTTTGTGCAAACTAGCATTATGCAGAACGTCGGTTTTCTGGATACCATCTTCTGTGTAAGTACTTTTCGGCATTGTCTGGAGCAGTTGTTAGGTCATGTTTTGAAACGAAACTGAAAGGTGACTATCAGTATTTTTGGTTACCGGCATTGAATATGTCAACTGCCATCTTAGATATCGTCAAAATGTAGTTAACAATGCACGGAGGGATTGGGTTTGACTTAATCATTTCGGAATGTATTTTTACCAGCAGATTACAAGTACTTTCCTCAACACGATGTCACGATATCTGAAAAACGATCTTTTATCGCTTTTTGTCTCAAAACCTGGACAAAACCGAGCCTACTTACAACTGAATCACCATAATGATGATAGAAGATCCACTAGAGCGGCGCTACAAGTATCTGCATATGCAATAAGAGATGCCGGTTCTGAAAAAATAAAAGTCGACTTTTCGGCTGCACCCGAAAAGTGTGATTGAGTCAATGACCTTAAAAATGCCAAAAAAAACAATGCCTACGCTTGGCATCCCAAATCTGTAGCCGCTCCCCCAAGTATAGCAGCAATCAAGTATAGTCCAATGCGGCCAAAGTGATTGAAACAGAAATTCCTTCGGCAGAATCTGAATTGAAAAGTCTGCTCACGCGTGCTCCTAAGAGGGTTTATCGCAGAACTACTCGTACTGTTTTTAGCAGCGTTATTTTGTCGAATCTTTCTTGCCCCTATTGCGCGCGCCAGCGCCTGCAGTTCATTTACATTTTACACCCACGCAAACACCCGATACCGGTGCGCCAAAGATGCAAAAATAAGAGAGCTACAAGCCTACAGTTATTGAGTACCCCAATCAAAACTGTCAATTTTTTTATTGAAGCAACATACTTAATTAATTTTGTTTAAAATAAGTGAGCGTACTTTAACTTTAGATTGCACCGCGTCCGCAGATGAATAATGTTCTTGTGTACTAGTACTAGCCCTAAATGTAATTAAGAAAATCTGCATTTCAGTAACTGTTTGATGCTGCAATAATGATAAGGAGGCAAGAAAAAAGGAAAGAAGTCTATGCTCATTATCAAGCAAACAAATGAATGCACATCTTCAAGCACACTGTATGTTGTAATGTGCACGTGTG